TTTCGCACGCGACAACACTACAGTCTCACTAACACTGAAACAACTACAGTCTCACTACACTGAAACACTACAGTCCCACTAACACTGAACACTACAGTCCCACTAACACTGCAACACTACAGTCTCACTAACACTGAAACACTACAGTCTCACTAACACTGAAACACTACCAGTCTCACTAACGCTGAAACACTACAGTCCCAGCACTAACACTGCAACACACTAACAGTCTCACTAGAACGAACTGAAACACTACAGTCTCACTAACACTGAACACTACAGTCCCACTAAACACTGAAACACTAACAGTCTCACTAACACTGAAACACTACAGTCTCACTAACACTGAAACACTACAGTCTCACTAACACTGAAACACTACAGTCCCCACTAACACTGCAACACTACAGTCTCATAACACTGAAACACTACAGTCTCACTACCACTGAAACACTACAGTCTCACTAACACTGAAACACTACAGTCCTCACTAACACTGAAACACTACAGTCTCACTAACACTGAAACACTACAGTCTCACTAACACTGAAACACTACAGTCCCACTAACACTGCAACCCTACAGTCCCACTAACACTGAAACACTACAGTCTCACTAACACTGAACACTACAGTCTCACTAACACTGAAACACTACAGTCCCACTAACACTTGCAACACTACGTCTCACTAAACACTGCAACACTACAGTCTCACTAACACTGAACACTACAGTCCCACTAACACTGCAAAACACTACAGTCCCCACTAACACTGCAACACTACAGTCTCACTAACACTGCAAACACTGCAGTCCCCCCTAACTCTGAACACTACAGTCCCCCACTAACACTGCAACAATACAGTCCCACTAACACTGTAACACTACAGTCCCCACTAACACTGTAACACTACAGTCCCACTAACACTGGCAACACTACAGTCCCCCACTAACACTGCAACACTACAGTCTAACACTGAAACACTACAAGTCCCACTAACTCTGAAACACTACAGTCCCACTAACACTGTAAAACTACAGTCCCACTAACACTGTAACACTACAGTCCCACTAACACTGTAACACTACAGTCCCACTAACACTGAAACACTACAGTCCCCACTAACATGTAACACTACAGTCCCACTAACTCTGTAACACTACAGTCCCAACTAACTAACACTGTAACACTACAGTCCCACTAACCTGTAACACTACATGTCTCACTAACACTGCAACACTACAGTACTCTCACTAACACTGCAACACTACAGTCTCACTAACACTGTAACACTACAGTCCCACTAACACTGTAACACTACAGTCCCACTAACACTACAGTCTCACTAACACTGTAACACTACAGTCCCACTAACACTGCAGTCTCACTAGCACTGTAACACTACAGTCCCACTAACACTACAGTCCCACTAACACTACAGTCCCACTAACACTGCAATCTCACTAACACTGTAACACTACAGTCCCACTAACACTACAGTCCCACTAACACTGTAACACTACAGTCCCACTAACACTACAGTCTCACTAACACTGTAACACTACAGTCCCACTAACACTGCAACACTACAGTCTCACTAACACTGCTTCACTACAGTCTCACTAACACTGAAACACTACAGTCTCACTAACACTGAAACACTACAGTCTCACTAACACTGTAACACTACAGTCCCTCTAACACTGTAACACTACAGTCCCTCTAACACTGTAACACTACAGTCCCTCTAACACTGTAACACCATAGTCCCACTAACACTGTAACATTACATTCCCACTAATACTGTAACACCACACTCCTACTAACACTGTAACACTACACTCTCACTAACACTACACTCCAACTAATACAGGTAATCACAGTTCCAACTTCATAGCAAACAGGTTATCCTATAGTTCCATTCTTGTGCCAATGGAAACTGGACCGGGCACTGTAGGTTATAGTAATTCCTCTGCAGGTTGGGAGTAGACATTAGCAAATATGATTCACACTGTTATCTGATATTTTTACCAAATTATTACATTGGTACATTGATATATTAACTTAATTTGCTTCTTGGGTTTTCTCGAAACAATTGTCCTGTTGCACCTTCGGTGAAATCATGAATCCATTCTTAGATTAAAAATGTTTACCTAGCGCACTGTCCACTGAAAGAAGAACTGTCTCAGGTAGACCTTTTTCATTGTAGGAGAAGGCTTCTATCAACCACTCAAGAAGAATTGCCAGATTTTGCAAGCTCTGTTGTTACTTTTCCACATCAAGCGAAGTGTGTGTCTGTTAACATTCTGTTGTTTTAAGACTAGGATTTTCAGAGTGATAACCAAGAGAGGTTTTATCTTCAGATCACCACTGGCATTGGCGCAAAAGAGCAAAGTTAGTCTTTGATCAGCTTGTGCCGTGGCAATGTCCTTTCCTCCTTATCAATGAATGTTCTCTTAGATATTTTCTTCCAGATGTTCAGATATTCAGAAAAGGGAACACTGTTACTGAACTGTTATAAAACAGGTGTCACATATTTCACCATCATCATCATGTAGCAAGTCCTTTACAAAACTTCGCTAACATCACAGCATGCCTAAAAACACTTAGTTTCTCACCAGTTCTCTCGCCTCATTTACTTTCCTGCCCAAGGTATTTCCTGAGCCTTGTGCCCATCTTTGTGCTGGGTAACTTCAGCCCCTTTTACCCAGTACCATGATCTTTACTGTTCTTTCCAATCCACAGTGGCATTTTTTTAAATGATCATCATCACATGCCCTGCTGACTGGTGTACGCGTTCACACATCTCAACATATCTTGCTTCCTTGTCCTCTGGATCAGTTCCACCGATGATATCCCTCCATGCCACCATTGCAATCTATCTGTAATTGTTTCCCTCAATCTGCCTCTGCCTCTTCTACAATTGATCTTCCCAGTTGTCACTATATTCTCCACCCCCCCCCCCCCCCCCCCCCCCCCCCATTAAATGACTGAAGAACAGTGCTCGTCCTATTCTTATATTGACCTCTTTTTTTCATTAGTTCCTTTCGACCAATCCTTGTTAGTTATTCCGGCACTTGATATGGCCAAAGTATTTTCCTTGATGAATTTCTTGGGAAAGTCATGTGATAATGACCTTTTTTAGGGCTAATAATTCTATATGTAGAAATGTGACTAGTTTTTTTACCAAACTTTTTTGTTTTTCCTATGTATGTATAGTTTGAAGCATATCCTTTAAAATCATGTACAGCATGATTGTTTTTGTCTATTGCTGAGTACTGTTTGGTTTGTTAACAAATTATTTTATTGAAACTTAACCTTTTTGGGTGTCTATTTGTGTCTCTCACTCTAAGAGTTTCCTAGACACAGGTGGTAATACAAATATGTCCTCTCAAAGGTGGATTAGTTTTCAGAACAATTTGACCATAAAATCTCCTGCTTTATCACATAGTGACATTCAATTATTTCTAAGACATATCTTAATAATTTATGGTGAAAAGTTCTGTAATATTAACAAGTCTTACCCCTGGTTAGATGTGGAATCATTTCCAATAGGCAATCCTGAGAGTTCCAGCCTAACAAATGAAGAAGATCTGGGGTAGGTTCTTCGAGTGGAGCACTGATCAATGCTTACTGTTGCCACTGTACTGGCAGCCCTAAGTCTTGAAGTGGCCACAGGAATACCAAATGCTGTTAATGTCAAGTCTCCAATATTTGGATTAGAAACCTGGGGCTGGTCAATGCTCATGGTTCTTGCCTGAGAAGCATTTCTAAAAAAAAAAAAAAAAAAAACATTTTTTAGCAAGCTCTTTAAAAGAGATTAATGTAACATGTGGTCAGGAATATAACATGTAATTGTAACATACAGCATGGAAAGCCACTGTGGCCGTGGCTATGGTACTTGCTTACAAAGGCAATGGTCCAGATTCAATTCCCAGTAAAAGCGAGTTTCCATTTTAGGATTGGTTCAGCTCTATGGCCATTTCAATCTCATAAAAAGAGTGCCAGATAATTTTCTAAATTTTCTGAAAACTGTGTTTTCAAGAAAGGCAGTGAGAAACATAATTGGCACCTCATCTCATCATCCCAAGACCTAGAACATGTTCAGACCCCAGTGTCATGGACTTCCCCGTGTGGGTTTCAAGACCCTGTAAGAGGGCAAACAAAAATAGACCCACTGCCTACCCAAAAGCATGACATAGGAGTTGACTAATTGGGAGCTTCCTTTAAAGTCAGAGTGCATCAGCCTGAGAGGCAGGGAACCAACAGTCTGCATACAAATTAGTCAGATCTGATGCACACACAACACTCAAGTTCTGGAACAGGACTGCAGTCCAGAAGTAAATAAACAACCAGAACTTTCCGCCAGAGTTTACAGCTGGTGAACGCAAAGAAGAAGATGTCATTTTGTAATATGGTTAGTGAATATGCTTACCTGCACAATAATGTGTGGGTAAAAGACAATTTACCTAAACAATAAAGTAGGACACAAGTAAATGGTCACTTACCAACAAACACAATAAGGTATGGCCCAAGCTGAGGATCACTTTCCAACAAACACAATAAGGTATGGCCCAAGCTGAGGATCACTTTCCAACAAACACAATAAGGTATGGCCCAAGCTGAGGATCACTTTCCAACAAACACAATAAGGTATGGCCCAAGCTGAGGATCACTTTCCAACAAACACAATAAGGTATGGCCCAAGCTGAGGATCACTTTCCAACAAACACAATAAGGTATGGCCCAAGCTGAGGATCACTTTCCAACACAGTGAGGTATCGTGTAAATAATGGATTTGCCCCCCGTGTGGGTTCCAGGGGCCCCATTGTGGGGAAAATAAGAATAGACCCACTGCCTCCCCAAAAGCATGTCGTAAGAGTCGACTAACTGGGGAGCTTCCTTTGAAGTCGGAGTGCATCTGCCGGAGAGGCAAGGAACCAACAGTCTGTATTCAAGAGAATGAGATCTGTAAAACTGATGCACATGCAACGCTCAGGTTCTGGAGCAGGACTGCAGTTCAGTAGTGGACGAGCAACCAGAACTTTCCGCCAGAGTGAACGCAAAGAAGAAGAAGATAATGGATTATTTTACCAATGTAGTAAGTTATGACACCAGTAAAGAATCACTTGCCAGCATAGTAAAATATTACACAGGTGAACTCGAGTGCGTATGGTCTCAGTGTGCAATGCAATTCTTTATCAACTAAACTAACCCACTCTTTCATCTCCTAGTGAAGCATGGGCTCTCAACCACCAAACCATATTTAAGACAGAGTGGATGTTACTGCTAGTTTTTTATGGTAGGAAAATGAAATGGCCAGTTCTTATGTCAACCATCCCTAGTTGCCTTTTGTGACATGCATAATAGACTGCAATGCTACTGTGTTTTCCTTGCCGACCACAGTAAGCCATGAGTGAATCAAGGATGAGTTAGGGAATGTTCAATTGTATTCTTACCTGTGTGAACCTGACACAGCTGACCGGCTGGGAACAGCTAAGATGCCATCTATTGGACATATAGGATGGGAGTGCAGCAGCCAATTGTCTATGCAATCTTTGTGAAACTGAAAATGCAACCAAATAAAAAATATTAAAAAAACAACCTGTGCCAACAAAGGTGACTTTGCTATTAAAACAAACTAAGTAAAGGACCCCTCTCACACCCATAGTGCACAGGGCACATGATGCCAGGCTTATATTTTGTCGACCAATTCGTAATTAGTGGGTGATCTGGTCAACATCACTGCCTTTACTTTCCAGGTATCCTGTTGCCATTTTAGGCTGGGTCGACCTTGGGTCAAGGTCGAAAAAAAAAATCTATATAAACTTGGGGTTTTGCCATTAATGCAATTATAATTCATGGAGCCTGTATCCATAACATATTTAATACTGGTATTTGTTCTACTTAAATTGCCACATGCACATTTTAATATTATTTAAATGCCAATGCACAAGCTATAAAATAAGTAAAACTTATTCAGAATAAACCTTTACAAACCTTATGTTTACATGGCAATTTGCGGACAAACTGGCCTACAGTAAAACCTCTTAGGCACACCCTGCACTGACAGCCCAGGGCCAGCAAAGGTCCCGCTTCCTTCACTCTTTCTATAGGAATGGCACGGAGGTGTTCTTCTGACAAATTGCTGAGTTCTTCTTGCCTATTCCTTTAATGCAAATAATCTTAATATGTTAAAAATCATTAAATAACAGTTATGCAAAATATTTATTAAACCGCAACTGCATCCAAATACTGAAATCCCTACTTCTTTGTATGTGTAGGTGAATACTTAGATAAGTGCTTAAAATATTACAGGTTTCAAAGCAGGAGATCAATTTAAAACAAAAGACATTACAATGAAAAGGGCTAGCTCAGAGTTTCAGTTAATATTTAGGAAGGTGTAAGTTACAGAATGAGATAACAAGGCTGAGAAAAATGCAGTGCACTTAATACAGCCTGGGAGCCACCATGTAGTAGCAGCTAGATGCCCGCCTACTGAAATGAAGGTCATGGGTTCAAAACAGAACAGAACCAAACTCAAAAACAAAATGACCTTGGCTTCTATGTCAACCCAGCTTTAATGGGTATAGGGTAAAGTCCTGGGAAGTAAAACTGGTTGATGTGATGTTGACCACTTCACCCAATGAATGTTGACTGGTCTATAAAATATAGGTCTAGTACTATATGCCCAATACGCAGAAATAAGTGTGGAAAAGGATCCTTTATACAGCCTACATACACATCAATAACAAATTTGGGGAGAAAAGAAATGATATTTATAACTGCATTTTTATGTATATATAATATATATGAATAATACTTATAAATAATATATAAGGACAAAGATATAATTATTAAAAAACAGAAACAGCCTGATCATTGCTGAAACTTATTAACAATTACTGACAGCACAAAACCACAAAGATTAAACATAAAAACATATTTTGAGGTGGATTCTAACCTTTCTAACTGCAACAGCAAGTCATAATCATTTTCAGAAAGGTCCCTGTGCATTAGATCATTGGCAATGGCATCCGGTAGGCTATCTCCCAAAGTTCTTGTCGCTGAATGCCACTTCTGATTTCTTTTCTGAACTCCACAGGTAACAAGAAGACAAAAGTGCTGTTTAATTAATAAATATCAACATATGGAAAATTTAAACAAGGCTTTTCAACACTGCTCTGGTGTGATTATATTTGTAACAATTTAGAGGAGCATTTGCAATAATAGTCTATTAAATAACTTCATAATCGAAAGCATTTCAACCAGAAAAAATGACATATATAATTAAGTATTGCTACATCATAAAGTATTCTCACACTCTCTCTCTTTAAAATTTTTTTTTACAATTTACTGTGGCTTGACTGTCCTATCCTGCTTTAGAGCAAGCTATGACAACACACTTTACCTACAAGTTCTTTTCAAAGGTCTATCTATGTCTATTGTCAAGTGTGCTACTTAAACATCTCCAGCGTCATATACTTTGCCCGGTTCACAAAAAAAGAATTATACTACCTGCAGCTAACCTCCATTATGAGACGGCAACAAGCTAGTTATGGCTATATGTGCATAAAGACTTTTAAAAGACTCTTGTATTTTAAAGGGTGTAGGTTTATATTTTATACAAACAGGAGCTGGATCTGTCATCATGCTGCAAGATGGGAACACATTAGAAACGTCATGTGCCTCGGGAAGACTCTCAACAAACTTCAGAACAAAGCAGCAAGCAATTATTGATTCAGTTAAAGTGCTTGGGGAAATAAAAACTAATAAAAACAGCAAAATTATTTTTCCTTGTGACTGCATGTCAGTCCAACCGGCGACTTAAAGGGATCCACGAGACAAAATGGAGACAGAACTGTCCCGCCAGCTAAACAGACTCGCAGAAAACAATCAAATTGTTCTCCAGTGGATCTCGGTTCACTGCGGCATACCAGAAAATGAGTTAGCAGACAAACTTACAAAAAATGGAACAAAGGAGAAACAACAAACCCATTCATTGTCATTACCATAAATCAGAACACTTATCAAGGGAAAATACAAGAAATTTTGGAGAGAACAAACTAACAGTAAACATCCACAAGACCTTATCAACAGACTCAACAGAAAGGAACATACAGCAATTTTTCATCTATGAACAGGACATTGCAGGCTCAACTACCACAGGCATAAAATAAAGATTGTGCAATCCCCACAGTGTGCCTGTAAAATAGGACCACAAACATCTGAGTACATTCTGCAGACCTGCCCACTCTACATACAACTTGGAAAAGACACCTGGCCTCAAGAGCATAGTGTGCAGAGCAAGCTATGGGGAACTATGAAGGACCTGCTGCTGAGATGCGAGTTCACAGAGGCAACCCACCTGATGGTCTGAACTGAGCATATGAAACCGAATGCAAAAAAGAAGAAAAAGATATTTTATACAGTTTAATATCCACAGGTAGGTTAAAAAAAAAAAAAAAGACAGGAAAAGAAATCTGATTAGTTTAGAAAATGTCTTTAATTTGCCAGTATTAGACTTCAAACATAAAAATGAATGTAAAATGGTATGGCTATACATTAGGTGTATGGATAAATGGCATATGAATACTTGTGTAAGTGCTAAGTAAGAGAAAGACCTTTTTTCACCAGACATATGATGCTTGACTCATATTTTTATGGATCAATAAGCATCTGATGGGTGATGTGGTCTACATTCCAACTGCAACCTTTTCTTCTGAGGAATGGCTGTTCAAATTAAAATGCTGGATTCTCAAGCAGGAGACCTGGGTTCTATCACGGCAAAATAAAAATGCCAACCCGAACAATTTGTGGTGACCGCATGAACCAAGCACTTTACATCCTCAGGCTCATGACCCCTGCTACCCTACACCACCAAATGGTATATACAGGCAGTAAAGACTTACCTTTTCTTCCCAGGGCATTCTCAGAGCATTACCCATTTTAAGTTGGGCCAACCTGGGAGACAGTAATTTTTTTTCCACATCCGCCTAGGGTGGACTTGAACATAGGACAGATGCACATCTAGCCACTACACTACTGCATCTCCGAAATGCTGATGGGTAAGGCAGATAATGGAGCTTTTCCCCAAACTTAGTTTGCTTCTTCATGCTGGGAAGCTAATCATGAAAGAATTCCCCATGTGGGTTCACGGTTCCCAGTGTCAGGGATTAAAAACAAAAATAGAGCCATTTCCCCAGTCAACAAGCATGTTGTAAAAATCAACTAATTAAGGGTACTTCTATCAAAGCTGGAGTGCTTTTGCCTGAGAGGTAAGGAACCAAAAACCTGCACACAAATAGCCAGATCTGTAAAACAGATGTGCAAGCAAAACTTGAGTTCTGACACAAGACTAAAGTCCAGAAACAAGACTAAATCCAGAGGTGGATGAACAACCATAACATTCTGTCAGAGTTTACAGCCGGTGAATGCACAGTAGAAGAGAAGAAAAGATAATATGAAGAAGAAGAAGACTTAAGTGCAGACTTTTGTAACTGAAATGAAACAAATAATCTAGGTGACGTGAAGTTATACTGGTGCACATGAGTTTCAGTGTTCAGTGACATTCATAATTAGTTTTGAGTTAAATCATAAATGAAGTATATTCTTGTACTGTGATTCATTACTCCCACAAACATACCTGTTTAAACTGGAATGTGTGATGAGCATGAACAGGTGTGTTGAAGCATTTCTGACACATGAAGAAATCGGGACACATAGTACATCTGAAAATAAACAGATCACTCATCAAGATGAAGAGCAAAACTTCACTCAAGCTAATAAATCAATCATTCAATCATGTGCCATCTCCATAGTGGTTGGCTGCAATGGATCTCCAATATGCCCTGTCTCTTGTCCTGGTTGTACACTCTCTCAGACTGCTACCATCCATCTCTTGATGTTGTCCTTCCCACTTGCATCCTTGTCCACCTCTTGCTCTCTTGCCTTCAACCTTTCCCGCCAGTATGTTTTTTAAAAGTGTGTTATGTCTTTTAATGTGGCCAAAGTATTTAAATCATTTCTTTTTTATTACTTTCAGTAATTCTCTTTTCATTTGTAGTCTTTCCAGAACCTCTAAATTGAACTGTTTTTGTTTCCATGAAATATGACTTATTCTTAAGTATAACCACATTTCCAGGGAAATGGATGTTACCAGGGGATCTGACTGGCGCTGAACACTCAAGGCAAGGGTGAGATGGATGTACCATCAGAATTATAACTCTTGGTCTGCTGCTGAATATAGGGTGGAGCGCTTACAGGAGTGCCCCGAGTGCTATGATATTGATTCTTATTTCAACATTTAACCCAAATCAAAAGCCCATGCATGTTGACGATGTTGAAGCTATATTAGCCACAGTTACTAGTTGTTCTACATCTAAATTACATACTTTGTTAGTGAAATAAAGCAACACATATCAGTTCTCGTTATGCCTAGTGGCACATGCGGCTTCAGAGAGGACTTTCCATGCTTTCCTGTCCTGTGCAATCTTAAGTGCAGTTTTCCATATAAAAAATGCAGCACTCAGGTCACTTTCCATCGTTCGTCTCCATGTTGTTTTTGGGTGCCCCTGTTTTCTCCTTCTCTCTGGTGTCCATGTGAGAGCTGTTTTGGCGGGTATGTCAGGATTCATTCTCATAACGTGGCCAAGCCATTTCCATCTTCTCTTGGTTATCATCCTGTCTAAAGTTTCTTGGTTTGGGACTTGAAGTAGTTTAGTGTTTGAGATTGTATCTGGCCAGGAAATTTTGATAATTCTACGTAGACATGTGTGGTGGAAGGTGGACAGCTTGTGTGCATCCTATTTGGTCATTCTCCATCATTCCACTCCATAAAGAAGAACTGGCAAAATAATGCTCTTGTAGAGTCAGAGTTTCGTTCCTCTGCAGTAATTGTTGGATTTCCAGATTTGCCTCATCCATCCAAAAGCAGCTCTAGCTTTGTTCAGACGTGACTGTATGTCCTCTTTGGTCCCTCCCGGCAGGGACACCACACTGCCAAGATATGTGAAATGTTCTACATTTTCAAGAGTTTGGTTATTCATGGTCACTGGTTGTTGGTTTGGACTGCTTGTCATGATCTTAGTTTTCTTTGTATTTATTCTCAGTCCCACCATTTCTGCTGTGCTGTTTAGTCTGTTACTTTTTTCTTGTATATGTTCATGTTTATGTGATAGGAGTGCTATATCATCTGCAAAATCAAGGTCCTCAAGCATGGTGAATGGAGTCCATCGTATGCCTCTCAATGGCCTGTCTACTGTGTTCTTTAGTATCCAATCAATCACAAGGTTGAAGAGGAGAGATGACATAACACATACACAACACAACAACACATACAGATGTTTATAATGGAAAGAGCAAAATAAAAATAATATAAAAAAAAAAAAGTTAGAAATAATTTTGACAAGTCTGTGCCCATCATCACTATCAAATGTCTTGCTGACTGGTGTTGGCGATTATGCCTCTCCACAATCTGTGATCCGCAGCTGAGTGTATCAGTTCATGTGGTGACACCTCACCATGCCATGACAAATGGCTGTCAAGAATATTCTCACATCGTCTTTCTCTGTTGAATTATCATGACAGAATATCATCAAAAAATCCTGGACAGGCTGATAAGTGTTTCAATTCCATCCAGTTAAAAAACTTTTAATTAGAAACCCAAACCAGAAAAACATATATTGCTATGAAGTGCGGATCCTTATTTACACAGAGTGGGATCCCCACCAGTAAAGGACCCTCTTAGTGCATCAGGCCTTTGGTGTTAGGCTCACATTTTGTATCAACTGATTGGCACTTAATGAGTGATGTGGTCATCTACATAATGACTGGCACCCAATGAATGATACGGTCAACATCATAATGACCGGCACTGAATGAGAGATGCGGTCAACACCACATTGGCTGCTTTTTTTTTCCTACGATATTTTCTCTTTCATCTTAGGCTGGTTTAATCCAGGAGCCCTGTTTACTACTACTTATTTCCTGCCACATTTCATGCCCAAAATGGAGGACTAGGCAGGTTAGAATTTTAAGCTTCAGAGTAATTTTTGCCTCTGACAGCACTTTGCTAATGCATATGAATGGAAGTCTTTTGCTGCCTAAGCTACTGATTTGAGTGCTTGGTGAACTAACTGTGAGTTGTGTTTTTCACGTGGAATGCCTTACAGTTGTGCAGTGGATGAATCATTTTATCCATTATGGCTGGTAGTCAGTTTATGCATGGGATGGTGAAATACCTTATGTAATAATTCTACCTGTGTATAGCAAACTTATGATTACTGACTATTTCCATCAATGAAAAACTGCATTCCTGGTGGTGACTGTTGGCTTTGACACCTCTAGCAACTGCCTTTTGCATTTAGTGAGTGTGCATATATCTGGTTGTTTCAAATTATTTGTTCACAAGTTTGTCAAATGGGACATTTCATTTGATTTTCACTGGCACAGGAACGGAGCAGGTATGGGGTGACCTGTTTGCAGTGAAGCTGAAACCTTTATTACGACTACATATTTTCTGCACTGAGCTAAACGCAGTCTGAAGAGGAAGAGAAGAGACATAGTTCTACAGTGTGATAGAAAAAGATTTTTGAAATTTACCAATAACTAAATAACACACTGAACAATGTTTTGGCAGAAATAATTTGACACACAAGAAAAACAAATAATAATTAACAGAAAACATATTTAACTAAACTAATTTCATATATAAAAATAAAATTTGATACAGAAAACACAATGCACAAAAAAATAAATATGCTGTATTTTACCGATAACATTTTCCTTCAATGGGTGTTACACTGCAGTGTGAGCAAGCTACGCCAACATGTCTGTCCAGCCGGGTGCCAGGTGCTGGTGGTGCCATGAAACCTGCATTTCTCATTTCTGTCTTCAATAGGTCAAAAGACCCAAAGTCTTCACGACACATGGGGCAGTTTATTTTACCATCTTCTGAAGTCTTGAGTTGATGCTCAGCCCATACTCTCATACATTTGATATGAATACTGTTCCCACAACCAAATCTGCCAACAAATTGTCACAAAATAACATTACATTCATTTCATACAAAGAAGTGATGATTTTATTTAATGCTCATAAATTATAACATTTTGTGACCACCTCATATCCAAGACTCTTAACATACTTCTGCCTCCATTACTAGCATCTTTGCTTTCCCTCTTTCTAGTAAACTAAAAGATAAAGAAAGGACACTGGTGTTTATGGATACTTTGAGAAATATTGATAATAACTGCCAAGGACCCAGTTATAAGTGTACAACAGGTTTTGTAGCATTGTTTTCAAAGACACATGTTTGTGAGCCAGTGTATTTTTGGACATCAATGAGTCCAAAACAGGAGAGAAAACAGTGAATGAACAGTGATGGTTTGTTTTGCAAGGACTTATGGCCTAGGGTTTTTACTCATGTTCTACAAGTATGTTTGTTTAAATTTAATTTCAACAACTTCTACAAAGTGCTTTCCAGTGTTTTAATTCAGCTCTTGTTTAATTAGTACTTTGTTCAGGACAGTTAGTGTATTATCAAAGATAATATATTCTCCGAAAAAAGAAGCATACTTGCAATATGTAACAAGCTGCTTTTTGGTCAGTAGATCTTCTTGGCATATTGGACAAACATCTCCCTCAGCAATCTCTCTTTGTTCTACAATGTTATGTCCATCAGATGTATCTATAACTTTCAGAGTTTTCTTCTGAATTTTCACCCGATTCTGTTCTGATGTGACACGACCTTGGAGGATTTCATTTATTTCTCGCTCAACAAGTCCAAGTTGCCAGGACACTAAAGAACCAAAAGCAAACGCAGAATTAGGAAAGTAAATGTTTAACGAAATTCAAGATGAAAATGAAACAAATGTACAGGGTCAAAATGTTAAAAAAACTGCTTTATTAACTGCAATATGTCTTGCAAATGAAACATGAGAACTAAAATATTAACACACAAAAAAAAAATCAAACAAAAAAAATCTACATAATTACATTTTCATAATTACATTGAAATTTTAGTAACACTTAGCAATAAATACTGATAAATCAGAGATAAAACAGGAGAAGGTGTAATTATTAGAGTAATTTTTATCATTAGAGTAATTTTTATCATTAGAGTAATTTTTATCATTAGAGTAATTTTTATCATTAGAGTAATTTTTATCATTAGAGTAATTTTTATCATTAGAGTAATTTTTATCATTTGAGTAATTTTTATTATTAGAGTAATTTTTATCATTAGAGTAATTTTAGCACCATACATGGATTATTTGCAGACAGCTTGAACTTGCGCAGTAACAGCCAGCAGATATGTTTGCACAAGTCTTTTTCTTTCTTAAAAACCTGGCAGGTGCAAGAATGTGGATCTCCAAGAAACACCTGAAAAATGCCAAGAAAAATTACAATCAATATATTCAACGATTAAAAATTTTTTTGTATGTAATATTAAATAGTTACTAACTAACTAGACTGTGTTTATAAATGCAGACTAATGTTTGTTTGTTACACTCTGCAAAGATGCTGAAGATATACCTAAATTCACATTGTCACATTGTATCATTCATCACAAAGTGCTTTGTTAAAACTCTAAGCTTGGATGATGTTTTGATCACAGCATTCAACATTGTCAATTTGATTAATACCAGGAGCTTACAGATGTTAGTTTCCAGCTTTGCTTGAAGACCTGTTGAGCTCTTTTTGCACACCTATGTGCATTAGCTCAGCTGTATTTGTTCAGAGTTGAGTTGAGTCAAGAATTGACATCACAACACTCGGGGCATTCCAATGCATGCTCTGTCTTCATCTTCAGCAGCCAGCACAGAGTTCCAGTACTGATGGTACCAGTCACAATCTGGTTAAATGTTATATTTGTTTAGAAGATTCAGGAACCTTCTTCCAGAAATTATTGAGTTTTTAAAATCCAGAGGAGAATGTTATCGTGATTTAGAAGACTGACTCTGAACAGATAATGAAACTGCAATTTCTTTGTGATATTTATTTATTAATTAATAAAACACAAAAAAAAAAAAAATGAAATGTTAGCTTGAGTTTAAATCTTCACAGAAAGCAATTTGTTTTATAAACCAACATTGGCTTCAGATCAACCCAACCTAAAAAATGAGTATCATGCATTTCCTTGGAAAGTAAAAGAAGGTGGATAGATGTTGATCACATCACCCACCTGACTAGTCTTTAATAATGTGAGCCTAACATCTTATGCTTGATATGCCACTGGTTGATGCACCACTGGTGTAAAAGGGATCCTTTACTTACATTTATGTTAGTACACAATTACATTCTTCTTCTTCTTTCCCTACTTCTGGAATGCCTCACACTGTCAGGGCAGGAACAAGATTTCTGGAACAGACCCTTCTGTTCATCTTGTCAGTTTGTGAGATCTCTTCATTTTCTAAGAGCACTAAGTAAGCCACTGTCAATTTGCTGGACCAGTCAACATGTTTTCAAACTTCCAAGAAGGTCACACCTGAACTAGACTATCCCATTTAGATGAGTCTAATATAACTTGCTCTCATTACGGCTCCTAATATGGTATTTTCAACTTAACTCTTTCAGTCCCAGAACTTCATAGCTGATGTCTGTCTGAAGTAATAATGATGACAATTAAAGCATGGGTATACTGCATCCATAGGGTCCAAATACACAACACATTATGGGTGACTTGTGTCGTTGGGTTGATTTAGTTTGCTTGACTAAACTTAAGATGTACAAATATACAAAACATGTTAATGGGTGCACAGTAGTATCCAGTATAGACTGTGCATTGTTTGAGACTGGAAGAAATATTAATTGTTTTCATTCTGCCAGAAAGAAGTTATCACACAGACTTATTGGTTAAGGAAAATCCATGTCTACTATGGCTGGGGCTTGAACATGTGATCACTGTAACATGTGTAAGTACATGATTACATAATAATGGCTCTTAATATGATCTTTGCATGGCTGGTGTAAGAAGAAACATTTAATCACAATTTTATAGAAATTAAACAGGAGAAAGATCAAAAATACAAAATGATTTTGCACCTTCACATTTTTAGTTTCCCCTTCTTCTTTTAGCAAAAAGCCAGTTGGACCTGTTTGTCGCAAGATGTAGATGGTTGAATCAAGTGCTTGAGACTGATGCCAGTTACAGGAATCACTAACTGTCATTCTCCAGTGGACACTGCGAGACATTGCTGCTGAGGAGATGTAATTAAAAATGAGACAGCTGAAAACAAGTACATGGTTTGTATTTCCCATGACAGTGGTTGATTTACAGGATGAGTCAGAAATAATGCTTGACATTCCAATTTTCTGGTATCAGAAAGCAATGACTGATGTCCAAAGCAAGCAGCTTGAGACAACTCAGTGACTGAGTAATAAAATATTTTCTGGCACTTATTTCAGGATAGTGGGTCAAACACAGAACTGAACTGTCTGAGAACACATTCTCCCACTGCTGTGAGTTGAATCTAGGTCACTATCTAGGCAAGCACATTAACCACCATAAATCCATGAAAACAACTATAACACTATGCAGACCTGCCAAGCAGAACTCAGTGGGGACTAAATAAATGGTTCTTCTTATAGGAAATTCATCTTATCCAAATGAGAATTCAAGCAAGAAAAATTGCCCGGGATAAACAAATTGTTCGCCACAAAAGAAATTCACTACATCCAAGATCACCTTAGGTGGCTTGGACTGTATTAATATAATATTATACATTAATTTATTACTGAAGAATAGAAGTTTTTTTTTAAAAATCTAAATTTCTATGTTTGAAATGTAGAGAACTGGTTGATGTTTAATAACTTCTCTGGAAAAATGGATGCTAACCTTCAAGTCCAGTGATCTGGCATTTAGATCCTCAAAGTATTATCTTCACGAGATTCAGTTTCATTCCTTTCCTCCTGTCCCCAACAAGAATGTCACAGGAGGTGACTAATTAGGGGTAAACCAATAGTCTGCTTACAAATAAGCCAGATCCATAAAATTTATGTGCTCCCAAAACTATTTTTTTTTTTTTAACAAGACTAAAGTCCAGATGTGGACGAAAAACAAAAACTTTCTGCCAGAGGCAGAGGGGGCTGCGTGGTCTCGAAGCATAGTGTTTGCTTCGAGTGCTAGAGGTTAAGGGTTCAATCCCCTGTAAGGAGACCTGGAATTCCCCATGGTCTCTGGGTAGTGAGATCAGACGCCCGTATGCATTGTTAAGCACGTAAAAATCCCTTGTCAGTTGGAAATAAAAAAGAGTAGCCTAACGGCGCTGCCCGGGCAAAATTTTGAGTAAAAAATCTACCTAAAGTATTTTATGATTCTTGCCAGTGCTACACAGCCTGTGCACTGTGCTGTGCTTCTTTGGACTTAGACTTGAGTCAGAAGAAGAACGGAGCACTTGTGGGTTACTACCTTTGTGCCATGATTTTGGCCCGTTCTTCAAAAAAACCTTCTGCCAGAGTGTACAGCCAGGGAATACTAAGAAGAAGATAAAGATTTCTCCATTCCCAAGCTTAGAAACCAGTGGGAAGTACTGGAGCTTCACATCTGTAGACAGGCATATTAGGATGTAAGCAGGTCATGATGATGATGCACAGTACATATGTACTGCTTGGGAATAAGTAGGTAATTCCCCAAGTGGGTTTCTATGACCCATTTTGGGGCAAAATGAATAGACCCACTGAGCCGTAACAAGCATATCACAAAATGGATAGACACATTGAACCGTAACAAGCATATCACAAAATGGATAGACACATTGAGCCGAAACAAGCATATCACAAAATGGATAGACACATTGAGACGTAACAAGCATATCACAAAATGGATAGAAACATTGAGCCGTAACAAGCATATCACAAAATGGATGGACCTACCGCAACAAGCATATCATAAAATGGATGACCCCACTGAGCCGTAACACGCATATCATAAAATGGATGGACCCACTGAGTCGTAACAAGCATATCATAAAAAGTGACTAATTAGGTGCTTGCTGAAATCGGATGTGCTGGGCCAACAAATATACACATAATATAGTCAAGCTGTCAACCACAAGAAAGCGCACTGACTGCATTTTTAATGACGAACCCAGCAGATGGAGCTAGGCTATATTCTATTTTATTTAGTTCGATACCTCTATGTGTTTTTACTGTTTACAATGAACAGACTCCAAGTAAGATAAATGCGTGTTGTCTTGGTTTAATCACAAGGCAGCAGTGTTGTTTGCTGTGACTGGTCTAAATTCACAGGCCTGCAAACACTTGGTGTCACCAACTGGAAAGAGAAGGCCAACCAGAGAGATGAATGGAGACGTGTGATATCTGCAGCAATAAATCTCAAGGGTTCGGAATAGTAAAGAAGAAGAAGAAGAAAAAGAAGAAGAAAGGTATAAATTCAGCACCCTTTCTCATTGTTTGTGTTGACTGCTGTCAACTCATTCATCCGAGTACTGTACATATTTTAAGTGCAACAAGCTGGTTTTTTTTTTTTACTGAAAAGTACTAGAATTTATTTCGGATACATAAAACTTTTTTTTATCCCACACACCATTGGTTTACTATTGATCAAATTACTCTATTAGCCAACACTGTGTCAACATAAACGCGGCTTCTTCAGCAAAATGTTGCGAGGTAGCCATATTGTTTATTTTGTTACTAGGGCCCGACTTCCGGTGCACTCGACCGATTTTCATAGATATGTTTCGTACATTTTCATTACTAAAAATGGCCCTTGATTATATCAACTGTGAGATGCTGTCTAAATGGAAAATGTGAAAGCTATTAATTTTCTGAAGGAAGGAAAGGCTACAGGCCTAAAAGGGTATGCAAGCAGACCCTATTAAGGTTAACACAAACGTAACAGCTACATAGATTATCCTGTGAAGTTTCAGACTTAGTCTAGGAGACTGAAGAAATACCAGCAGACTGGAATGTTGAATTTGGAATTGACATCACGCACTCGGGACACTTCCATAAGTTGCCATCGTTATCAGAAAGCGGAGAGTTTCCATTCCGATGACACCAGCCAGTAACTGATTGTAAATTCTTCTCGCCTTTCCCTTAAATGTTGAGAGTCGGCCAGATCCCCTGGTAGGGCAGAAAGGTCATTAATCGTTTGTTGAACTCATTCTGCAGGACCAGCTGCCCAATCTCTGCACTGACGACCTACAACGATTAAAAAGAACCCTACGAAGATCTGATTTGTGGTCGGACACTTTGACTCATTCCTCTGCTCACCCAAATTTTTGAAGCTTGCACACATGTCTGTGTCTTCAGCTTGCGAATCCAAGACTATCATCTTTTCAGCATATGACACTTGGGTCTATCCAGGGCTTCATGCAGTAGGTGCTTTTTGTCTGCAGCTACCATAAGATATGACTGCTTGCAGAACTTTGAGTCTATCTGCAATAGTAGGTAGTGCAAGTAAATATCGCATAGTAGTACCGGTGTATCTTCTGTTCATCCCAGAATTGCCCGCATGGCTTCATTCTCTGTGTTTTCAAGTTTCTTTAGCTGACTCTGATATGGTAAACATTCAAAGTCCACAATCTATCACCAACAGGATCACATGCAGGAACATTGTAAACAGCATTCTTTGTTCCGTGTCCATTGTTGCCATTATCTTCTGAGCACTAAGTCCCTTTTTGGCATTTCATCGCAACTGCCCCCATATGATCCCATAAGAACAGGCTTTTGTTGAAAATGATACTCAGATACCTCAATTTGCTTTCTTTTTTGATGTTTCTATAATTAATTGTAGATCTCGAATATTAGCCCTTGAATTCTATTGTCCAGAGAGCACCATAAAACAGCTTGTTCTGAGTTGATGACAGCAGCCATATCTGCACATCAGTCAGTCACTTTGTCTACAGTTGCGTGTAGTTCTTGGGCTGTCTTTTGCCTATCGCTCCCCTGTCTATATGCAAACTGTAAATTCCAGAATTCTTCCAATACTTGGTGCTTTAAGTTTTGCAATCGTGCTTGTATACACATTGAAGAACACTGGTGCAATTGCAAATCCTGACTAAGGTGGGCTGAGAGCATCTAAAAGTTCCGCTTGAAGAAACTCTCTTGGCTGAAAACCCTGGGACACACTGGGGTGAAAGTAAATGAAAGAGCCGACAGACTAGCGGTGGATAGTGGAGGAAGACGTATGGACATAGCAAACATACCGAATGCGCTGCTTCCAGAGACGTTGAGACACAAGGGACTAGGGTGGGCTGACAGCATCTTAAAGTTCCGCTTGAAGAAACTCTCTAGGCTGAAAACCCTGGGACACACTGGGGTGAAAGTAAATGAAAGAGCCGACAGACTAGCAGTGGATAGTGGAGGAAGACGTATGGACATAGCAAACATACCGAATGCGCTGCTTCCAGAGATATTGAGACACAAGGGACTAAGGTGGGCTGACAGCATCTGAAAGTTCCGCTTGAAGAAACTCTTTTGGCTGAAAACCCTGAGACACACTGGGGTGAAAGTAAATGAAAGAGCCGACAGACTAGCAATGGATAGTGGAGGAAGACGTATGGACATAGCAAACATACCGAATGCGCTGCTTCCAGAGACGTTGAGACACAAGGAACTAAGGTAGGCTGACAGCATCTAAAAGTTCCGCTTGAAGAAACTTTCTTGGCTGAAAACCCTGGGATACACTGGGGTGAAAGTAAATGAAAGAGCCGACAGACTAGCAGTGGATAGTGGAGGAAGACGTATGGACATAGCAAACATACCAAATGCGCTGCTTCCAGAGACGTTGAGACACAAGGGACTAAGGTAGGCTGACAGCATCTTAAAGTTCCGCTTGAAGAAACTCTCTTGGCTGAAAACCCTGGGACACACTGGAGTGAAAGTAAATGAAAGAGCCGACAGACTAGCAGTGGATAGTGGAGGAAGACGTATGGACAAAGCAAACATACCGAATGCGCTGCTTCCAGAGACGTTGAGACACAGGGGAGTGACAGTCGACGAGCCGCCTGTTGGAAATGGATGTTAAAACAAGGACAAGTATCCAGAAACCTGCTATGGAGGCAAATAGTGAATACATATCAATCAACTCCTACTGGATGCGTTGAGGCACTGAGATAGCTGCTGCATCAGATGATGGAGCACGAATAGGTCGAACCGATGTGCCCGGATATTGATGCAGATTCAAGTAAAATGCTGTTGTTGATGATGATGATGAATAGAATAATACTCTCTTTGAAGGTGTGCAATGCGCAAGTTTCCGTTCAATGTGCGTCAGCTTTTGTAAGCATTTATTTTTCATGAGCCCTCATATGAAACTGGCTAAACAGAGCCTGTTTTTTTCCTCTACACTACTACTACGGTTGTAAAAATCCTGCAGTCGTTTAAGGATATAGTAAATCATACATTTATTGCATGTATGAGTTGCTCAACAGTAGGCTGTGTTTATCAAGCTCTACGACTAGATCAACCAATCTGTCACACAGAGACGACCACAACTAGGGTGAGCCATGAACTTAGCTGTCGCATGTGCTACTATTTTAGTTTTTACATGCCTCTGTTATTATAATTAATAAGTAAAACTAGAGCCTTTTTTTTTCTAGAAAAAAGGTGTAGTTTTCATCTCAAATTGTCTATAAGTCAGCTGATAAAACTCGACAGCATACAGAATGAAGCCATGCGAGTAAATCTAGGATGTACAAGAGATACCCAGGTAGTTTGTATGCCATATATAATTGCACTGCCTACTATTGCAGATAGGCTCAGAGTTCTGCAGGCAAAGTCAAATTTCAGAGTAGCTGCAGACAGAAATTACCTCCTGCATGAAGCCCTGGGTAGAGCTAAGGGTCACAGACTGAAAAGATGAAAATCTTGCATGGCGCAAGCTGTAGAAAAAAATAGACATGTTTGTAGGCTTGATAATTTTGAACGAGGAGAGGAGCGGGTCAAGGTGTCCGAACAAGTTTCAGACTTGTGTAGGGTTCTAATCGCGTTAGGTCGTGAGTGCAGAGACTGGCCAGCTGATGATATACATCATCATCATCATCATCATCATCATCATCATCATCATCATCATCATCATCATCCTTTCTATTTTATTGTTGTGTGTCACACATGACTCAGTCCTGACCTAAATGGTGAGTTCCTGTAGCACAATTGTTTTTACTGAGTAGGAGAGCTGGCCCCACGTCGTGCACTCCTTTCTAACCAATGCCCAGTCCGGACTCAGGTACCCCGAGGGGCCCCTTGTTCCGGCGCCCCTGGTAGAAAGTAAAGGCGTCCGTTTGGTTTATAAAATACTGGATAATCATGCTTATATCCAAAGACGTGAAAATGCCTTTTTCTTTTATTTAATATATATATATATATATATATATATATATATATATATATATATATATATATATATATATATATATATATATATATATATATATATATATATATATATATATATATATATATATATATATATATATATATATATATACATACATATAGGGCAGTCGACAGAGGCATGCGAGCTGGGGAGGACGAGGATGGAGCTGCGTACACGTTCAGAACTAACCTAGGTCAACTGAAATCAAAGCGTACAACAGACATGAGGAGATGCGACTATTCTTTACCCCAGTTACACGTTTACGACACTGGCAGGTAAACACACATTGAAACCAACAGCAGAATATATTGTTGTTTTCCTTTCCTAATATTAACACTGAGTCAAATAACGTGTCGTAATTAATTAAAACATGTGTTCTATTTTGTCAGTACCAGAGTATACCAGAGTCTTTATTAACATAAATTTAATGTAGCCATTAAATACATTATTTTCACTTTCAACTGGCCACTTTTCAAACCATCTTCGAGGGTTTTCAAACGAAACAGGACGTTAAATTTTGAGAAGATCTGGAAGAAACTTTGAGCATTATTTCTAGAAAATTCTGTAACAAAAGCTGTAAATACGAACGCCCTTCAATCCATTTATGTTCAATAGCACGGAAGTTCTGATACTAGTGTACACGAGCCCTTCTTCCCTCGCCACCCCTGCCCCTCTTCAACAGTCTTCTCTGAGCACTAGAGTGCAATAAACGCGTGCACACCCGCCTTACCCTCGCTACCTTCTCAACAATCGTCCAAAAGCACTGGAGTTCAATGGCACGGGAGGGCTCCAAAAATCGTGCAAACAAGAGCCCACTCCCACCCCTCCCCAACTCTCATTTTCCGCTGTAGATGCAGCAGCGGCTGAAGTAGAATAGGACTGACCTGGCTCTACCTAGGCGACTACGAGCTTGATCGCGTCAACAGCACCATGACGACTGTAAGGCGATAAACTTATGCTCTCTACTTCACAGCACAGGCTCTGCAGGGCAAGGAGAAATGGTTTGAAAAACATCCTAGATCAGTGGCTTTCAACTTTTCTAATGCCGGGATCCTTTTAAAAAAATTACTTTATGTTGTGGCTACCACCAGACAATAATTTTCCTTAATAACTTTAATGAATATGTGTTTTCCGATGGTTTTAAGCGACCCCTGTGAAAGGGTCGTCGACCCCCCAAAAAAGGGTCACGACCGGCCGGTTGAGAACCGCTGTATTAGATGCTTTGAAAATCGTCCAGTTTGGGGTTTGAGAAACGTCCAAGGTGGTTTGAAAAACGTCCACTTTGATTCAAAAAGCGTCCAAGTTGGTTTGAAAGAAGTCCTATGTGGTTTATAATTTTATACAGTCCAAGTCCAAGTTCTTTTGAGAATAAAAAAAAAAAAAAAGAAAAGCTCTACCACGTTCATACTGCTGCTAGCTAGCCTAGGCTGCTAGCAGTCTCCGCCTATATTTGTGGTCTGGGTTATTTGCGTCACTTTCGTGACTGAATTTTAGTGTTTGTGCCATTTCTGGGCTTGATGCTTCCATCCGAATCAAACCGCTCGTCCTGTTGTCACTGGTGCATGTCTTCCTTCTTCTTTCTTGGTGTTTCCTGTTTGTTCTGTCTCCCTTTGATCTGGCTAGGCGTATCTCGAAGGAGAGCGAGCTTCCATACACAACGTCCTTTGGACCACCATTTATTGTTTTAAAATTTTGAGTATTTAAATTATGCCAAAAAGTACTGAAAACAGTTTTTGAATTTGAATAGTTCCGAAATGTGAAAATGTTCCGCGTGTGACCATAGTGGTCGTATAGTTGTCTTCCTGTAATATGAACGGGTTAGTCATGTAATGGATATGTATGTGAGAGTTTATGTGAAGACTTAAGCGGGTCCAGTCGTCATCTGTTATTATGTGATCGGGTTGTGTTGACAGCTAGGCTCCCGTGTACGTAAATACCATATAACCGGAGCATCCAGCTCACGCTTTGAGATCCAAATGTTCGGCGATGAGAATTGTTGTGGCATGTTGGGTAACGAACTCAAGTGCTCTCTGTGGGAATGGGTTGGGGGGTTAAACTCATAGTGCATCCGAAAGCTAGGGAAGGGTGAGGGGAAAGGGGGCGGGAGGCCATTCAGTCATTTCTTGTCGTTGCCGTCTTGCTGGATTCTAGCGTGGCCTTTTGCCGGAACTATGTGTATCACGTTACCAACCTTTGCTATCATCCCAGTTATGGGGTGGTATTGGTGGTTATGTGTTCTAGTCCTGTCATTATTGAGTCACTTGTTTTCCCTGTTTGCTGTCAATCGTATCTTGTTGTGAGTCCTGTCGGTCATGTGCATGTTGTATGCATGCTGTTGAATGAGATGGTTTTGTGTATGAATCCCAGGAGTATATGGACGCACCCAACTAGGTGTATGCGTACATGCACTCGAGTACTCATACACGCAGACAACACTACCTATTTGCACGTCCTTTCATACTTATCCATGTATGCATACCTAATTGACATTACGAACACACGCAAACTCTTTCATATACGAGCACATCCACACGTAGTGACATTCACTCTTCCATGTCTTGTGCGTTTTGTGTCGCTATGTCTGTAGTAATAGTATCGTCTGGTCGTGTCACTTTTAAGTTATGTCTCGTTACTTGTATGTGACCTGCCCGGTACTGTCTTATCATGTTTTGGTGGATGGTGTGTGTTGATGACGTTCTTGCTGCGTACACACCTCATTCTTTTGTTCTCATTAATTAACAGACATGCAGCAACACAATTTATGGGTTCTTTGAGTGTACTGTCATTCATACACACACAAATATACGCGCTCACATATATATACACACATGCACACTCGTACCCACATATCCAGGTACTCATTCATCTGTACCTTTCGCCCAGCTATATTCCCACTGTCCTATCCATACGTGATCCCTTACCATCCGCCTACATACATTGTGTCTTATGTATCCATCCTATACATAAATGCACTCATACTACACGCACTCATCCTTGTGTATGTATCCATGTTCACATCTATGCACTCATCATACTTACACTACCTCTCTGACGCTAGGGTGTCTGGAGTTACTATCTGATCAGTTCCTTCTGTTGTACTGAGTAGATCCTTAATCCTGTCTTTTTAGTTTGGGTTTGTTTTAATAAGGTATTGTTTAACCAGTTTTTGAATGTCTTTATTGCTATCTACATTTAAACATTTGTTTGCAGTAATTTGTTGTTTGCGTTTTAGAAAATACTCCTCAATGGGTTTCCTCTCTAATTTATATTTAGTGCAGTTTATTATGTAATGCTCTACTGTGTTATCTTGAAAGCAGTCCAGACATAGTGGAGATGTAAATTTCTCTGGATGCCACCCTAACCTAGCTCTCCATAGTAGTTTGTTAGCTGGGATTTTCAGTTTGTCCCGTACCTGTGTGGTAAGGCTGGGCTCTTTAAGGTTGTTGTAGGCATCTCTGCCTTTATTGCTCCCTTGCCATTGTAGTTTCCACATTTTAATTATGTGTCGTTTGATTATGCTTGTCCTTTCAGTTTTTCCGAGTCTTACATCTACTAAAACATCACATTTTGCTCCCTTTTTGGCTGCTATGTCAGCTTTTTCATTACCTATTACACCTCTGTGTGCTGGTACCCATGCAATGGTGACTTGACATCCTTTATTATTGAGCTGGGTTGTTAGATTTCGGATTGTTTCTTTAATATCTGGTCTACTGCTAGTTTTATGTGTTTTTAATGTCTGCACTGAGGACAATGAATCTGTCAGTATGGTACATTTAGTTGGAGGTTTATTAATTACCATCTCTAGTGCCTTCATTATGCCGACTAGTTCTGCTGTGCATACTGCCACATGATCTGTTATTTTATATTCTCTTTGCATATTCCACTGTGGGATTATTACTCCTGCTCCTACTTCTCCTACTTCATTCTTAGATCCGTCAGTGTATGCAACCAGATTGTCTGATCAGATCTGGTCTATGTATTCTTCTGTTATTGTCTTGGCTTCAAATGTTTCAGTAATTTTATTAATAATTTTCATCAGACTCATGTCTGTCCTGGGCAGCTCTAGTCTCCATAGAGGGATTTGAGGGACAAACCTAACGCTTGCCTCTAGAGTCATAGCTAAGTCCTCATCATCGTTAATTTCTAGTGCAGCGTCCCAGGCTGCTGGTCTCTGTATATCTCTGACCGGTCTGTCACCTAGGTGGGTCATGTTATGATGAAAGGCGTCTGAAGCTGGGTGTCTGGCATCGTTGGCCGCTTTCATCCAATAGCTATAAGTTAGTTGTTTTCTTCTGAGGTTAAGTGGTGTGATGCCTAGTGCTACCTCCATGGCCTCTCTCGATGTCCCTTTTCCAGCGCCTATGATGGAAGTCAGAGCTTGGCACTGAATGCTGTCAAGTTTGCATTTGCTGTTCTCTGATGCTGATTCGTATACTACGCTTCCGTATTCCATTTTGCCCCTAACGAAAGCTTTATAAAATTGTATTAGGGTGTCCTGGTGTGCTCCCCATCCGTTTCCTTTAATCATTCTCAGCATATTATTGTACTTTTTACACTTTACTACGAGCTCATCGATGTGCTTAGTTCAGGTCATTTGCTCATCCAGAATCATTCCTAGAAATTTCGTCGAACGTGTCCGCTAAACTGTTCTACCATTAATTTGGAGTCTCGTTACTTCTGGGTCATAATTAAGCTGTCTTTTAAAGTTAAATATCATGCTTACTGTTTTGTTGACGTTGATTTTAAATCCCTATTTTCCCATCCAATGCGCAACTTCGTCTAGACTTTTCTGTAGTCTTTTCTTAGCGCAGGGGATCTGATTATGGCTGTGGTAGATTGCACAATCGTCCGCAAATTGAGTTAGTCCTGTGTCCTTGTTCGTGATGGCATCATCAAGGTCGTTTACTAATATACTGAACAGGGTAGGGGTTATTACAGCACCATGAGGAATTCCATTCACCTGATCATAAGTTTGTGATCTTTCGTTATTAACTAGTACTGAAAATGTTCTATCTTGTAGAAAGCTTCGGATATATCTATAGGTTATTCCGGTAAATCCTAGTTTAGCTGCTTTAAACAAGGCTGCTGGCCCGATAGCACTGGTCGTATGCCTGTTTCAGATCCAGGAACACTGCCATTGTCTTACCTCCTGTTTTAAATGACTTTTTAACATGGTCCTCTAATTTTATAATTTGATCGAGGGTGCATCTGTTAGATCTGAACCCTGCCTGAGTTTTGCTAAACAGGTTTTTTTCTCCATGTGGAATGTTATTCTTTTATTGACGATTGTTTCTAATATTTTCCCGAGGTGGGGTGTTAAAGATATTGGTCTATATGAGTCTACTTTTTGGTGGTCCTTGTTAGCCTTTTTAATAGGTATCATAGTTGCTTCCTTCCATGTTCTTGGAATCTCTCCCTCTTTCCAGATCTCATTGTAGAAATCAGTAATCTGTTTAATGGTTTTTGCTGGTAGCATTTTCATTATAGTATAGTTTAGAATATCGAACCCAGCTGCCGTGTTAGATTTGGCTTGTATTGCTGAGTTAACTTCTTCAGTAGTTATATCTGCATCTAGGTATGAATTTTCTTCCTTAATTGTGATTTTGGTTGTCCTAATCTCTTTATTAAGAGCCGTTCTGTTTTTCAGTTCTAGTTGATTTAGTTTATCATTGGAACAGACCTCATAGAAGTGCTGTCCGAAGATATCTGCCTTATCTTTATCAGTAATTGCCACTGCGGGTACCTGAATTGTAGGGATCCTTTCTATTATTTTGTCTCCTTGTATGACTTTAATCTGGTTCCACACTTCAGTTGTTGGGGTATCAGGGTTCAATTTTTGGCAGAATGTCCTCCAGTGCGCCTCCTTAGCTTTGCGAATGACTTTGGTAGTAGCATTTCTGTGTTTAACATATTCTTGTCATCTTTCTGTTGACCCGAATTTTCTATAGTCCTGCAGAGCCCTTTTACGTTTATCTCTTGCCTCAATTCAGCTTCAGTTAAACTGACTCAAACTAAAAAAAAAAATGCTAGTAAGCATGTTTGTGTGTTTGTGTAAATGTGTACGTATGTGTATGTGTAAATGTGTACGTATATTGGCGGTTTTTCATGATACATCTTCAGTTATAAAAGTTAGTCACCGACACACAAACACACACGCACACACAAGAGAGTCGCCTGTGCCATAGCGGCAAGACGCTTGCCTGCGGATCGGAAGGTCGTGGATTCGGGTCCTGGTGGAGCCGGACTTCTTTCAAAAATGACATTGACTCTCAGGTCGACCCAGCCTTGAGTGGGTACCAGGTACAGTCCTGGGATGTAAAGGCGGCGGGCGTGGATGATGACCACGTCACCTACCAAGTGCCGATTGGTCTATAAAACATAAGTCTAGTCTTATATATGCTAGTCAGATCTTGGTCAGATATTACTGAGCTACCGTATAACAGTAGCCGGTACCACCTGTCTTCTGTTACCCTGAATATTGTGCGGCGTATACAAACCCAACATCCTATATTGTGCCAACGGCTTCGGGCGGAGGGGCGCATTGGGGAGGATACTAGCCTTATCCTAGGAAGAGAAAATGCAACCTGAAAACTTTGTGTTATGGCAGGGCAGACCAGGTCCTTCGCCTTGGCTGGCAGCTGGTCTAGGAGGGAAGCTCTGACAGGCGGACAGGTGGAGCACTGCTCTTCTGATCCGGCAGCTTCTGCAGCCTGCCTCGTTCCAAACGTACTGGTTTTACCTTTCCTTTGGAGTAAACAAGGCAGGTCGAGAGAGGGATCATTACGCATGGGCAACATAGGTCTCTACAATACTGCCCAGGCTTTGTGCTATGGAGAGGAGGAACTTCATCCCTGGCCTTAATCGGTCTCGGAAACAAATCGAGAGGCAGCAGTTACGGGTTATTAAAGACAGGAAGAAGATGTCGAGGCCGACTTCTACTACGTTATAAAGATGTGTGCAAGAGGGACATGAATGGTACAGGTATTGATGCGGACTCATGGGATTAAAATGCCATGGACAGTGTTGTGTGGAAAGGGCATACCAGGAAGGGAATGAGACTGAAAGAAGAAATGATTGCAGAAAGGATGAGAGCTGAGCGTCTGAAAAGAAACGGATTAAACACAAATGCTATTAACAATGGTCCTGAAATCCTTTGCTATCATTGTGGAAGACTTCTCTTGACACAGTCGGGTCTTGCTAGTCACACTCGCCATCGCCATGGGCTATGAGTCTCGTGCCTCCTCATAGCGCAATATAACACTATCGTCTAGAAAGACGGAAAGGTGCCAATGATGAGCCTTATATGCACAATACGCATGAAGGCGTGGAAAAGGGTCCTTTACTTTACACACACGCAACGCACACGCACACTCACACAGGTACACATACATACGCGCGCTCTAACCTCGACCCTCCTCCCCATAAACACTCACACCAACCAACAATAAACCGACTGATTTAAAAGTATTTAAGATTCAGAGCCGCTGACTACTATACTTTTTTTTCACTCTAGTGTCAAATTCTTGTTGTATTACATATATATATATATATATAAAATATGTGCATTACTGTAGTTACTTCCGCATTATTGCCTGCCCATTGCTCTGTTGATGTAATTCTTTTTAAAAAAAATTTCTCGTTTGCTGATGAAGGTTTGTCGCCACAGCATGCTGTGTATATTGATTATATCTGTATACTGTTAAACTAACCTTCTATATTTACGCAAGGTGTTTTAAAATGTTTATCACAAGCTTGCCGATAACAAAAGGATATAAATTTAGTAAAATTGAATAATAATAATAATAATAATAATAATAATAATAATAATAACAACGTTTTCAATGACTTATTGTTTAATATTAAGTTGACTTTGCGTTTGGTCGATGACAGACTGATTTTCTGTTAACTGACAAATTTTCAGCGCCAGAGATTTTACTTATCTTAGAAGATGTGGAGAGTTTTCTGACGCCATCATCAGAGTGGGGAATGTCACCTTTCCAGTACACAGGAACATCCTAGCTTGCTGCAGTCCGTACTTCAGGTCATTTTGTTGTTGTTGTTGCTCTATGGCCAGTTTAAGACAACCAGCACTGGTTGTTTAAACTATTTCTGTAAGAAATATAAACAGTCACTGATGCTGAAAGATGAAACATCCTTCGTTGGTTATTCATTGTTCCTCGGAAATGAAAGTGAAACTAGCTAAGGAAGCTCCAACTGAAGAACAACATGACGTACCAGTCTCCTATCAACAGAAGAAGAGAACAAATCAAATCAATTAGAAAGCCACCAAGACTGACATAAGACGATTACCATATTATGGACAGACCAGAGCAATTTATTATTTTACGCCTTAAAACAGGGCACAGTAGACTTCGCAGCCACATGTACAAAAACTAAAGATTAGCAAATCAGCCATGTGCACATGTGGAGTGGCACCTGAGACAACAGAACACATCCTCCAAGACTGTCCCAGATGCAACATTTCCAGGCAAAACTTCTGGCCATGAGAGACACTGGTGGAAGCCAAACTTTACGGACCGCTAAGTGAATTACAACAGACAGTGAAGTTCATACTAGAGACAACTTTGCAGACATAGATAATTTTTTTTTTAAGCGAACGAAAAAAGAAGAAGAGACATTATTCCCCTCCGGGATTGTTTTTAGTAGGATTAATATCTCTTGGTAGAGAATCAGCTAGGAGTCCCACAAACTGCATTCAACGCTGTAATACACTTATATTAGGGCGGTTACGAAGTGACCCAAGGTCCAATGTCGGGGTGGGATTTTATAACAATGTGAACAATGTGAAAGATTTGACATGTAGATACACGATAAAAGTGATAAGACTAACGTCACTTCAAAACATAGTTCTTAAATTTCCTCTTTAACTTTGCATTGAGCCTGGGATTCCTTGCTAGTTGTCTATTAGTTAACTCAGAGAGCTGAGTGGTCTCGGGGTATTGCATCCGCCTCGAGAGCTGGAGGTCCCGGGTTCAAGCCCCGATGGAGGCTGGGATTTTTTGCACGTGGACTTCTAGTAATTTCCTCTTGCTTTCTGGGTAGTAGGATCAGACGCTCGTGTGTAATGTTGAGCACGTAAAAAATCCCATTGCAGTTAGAAATCGAAAAGAGTCGCCCAACGGCGCTGCCAGGGCAAAATCTGGCGTTAAAAATCTACCCAAAGTATTTCAGGATCCTCGCCGGTGCAACAGAGTTTGTGCACTACGCTGAGATTCTTCAGACTCAGGCTTGAGTTAAAAGACAAACGAAGCACTTATGGGTTGCACCGTGTGCCATGATGTTAGTCCGTTGAATAAATATTAACATAAACATGACAGGGACATATTTCGAAATGTAAAGTGCGGCTTTGTGGCTTACAGGTTAGCGAAATCGTTTCACAGTACAATCATCGACTGTTACCCTGGTTCGACTCCCGCGATGTGCCTTCTAGACAAATAAAGACAGTTCTTGTGGCTTTCAGACAGTAGAAAGATAGTCACACCACGGATGAAATTGGGACCCTTATCACTAATTATTATTCCCATAGTTAGCAGTGGATACATTTCTTTTTTTTTTTTTTCGCATTCTCCCGCTGTAAACTCCGACAGAAAGTTCTGGTTGTTCATACACATCTGGAACTTAATCTTCCTCCAGGACCTTAGAGTTGCGTGCAAATTCATTTTACAGATCTGTCTTATCTGTATGCCTCTCAGGCAGACGCACTCCGACTTGGAAGGAAGCTGCCCAATTAGTCGACTCTTATGATCGGCTTGTAGCAGGGGCAATGGACCTATTCCTGTTTACCCACCACAATGAGGTTACGGAACCTACACTAGCAGGATAAATTTAAGCCAACCTTAACTGTGGAGTCAGCTGAACAGTTTAAAAAATAAATAAATTAATATGCCTGTGTCAATTTAATGTAAGGTGTATGAACAAGCTGCTGTTAATAGAATGTACTGTTAACGGAAAGTAATGTGTGGCAATATGTTGGTGTAAAAAGAACACATTTGCGTTACTTGCTTGTGCTGTCAGAATGTAATGTATTTTAACATGCTCGTGTGAATAGAGTGTAATGTGTGTTAACATGCTGGTGTGAATAGAGTGTAATGTGTGTTAACATGCCGGTGTAAATATAATATAATGTGTGTGAACATATTAATACAAAGCAATATATGCAGTAACACAACATTTAAACATTTGTTTCCACATTTTCTGTTTTTAACAGAGCACTGTTCACAGATCTGGATCGGAAACGAAAAGCTATGGATTTCTCCAACAGCAATTGTTTGGAATCTCCAGAAATGATGACTAAATCGCAAGCTAAAACTTTAACCGTGTATTCGGATGGCAACGAGGCCATGGATTGTGTGCCAAGCTCAACAGATGTCAGTTGGGTAAGTTACATCCGCCTAATGGACTTTTGTGACGGTAGGAAAATGTGTCAACAAACGATCTGATAAAGTCTTTTCTTCTTCTTTCCTCTACTCATAGAATACCTAGCGGTGTCAGGGAAGGAAAGAATTTCAAAACGGGCCCTTCTGTTCACTTCGTATAAAGTACTTTTCAGTGTCTGATATTTCTACTGTCCATATTCTGCACGTTCGACCTCTGGCTCTCTTAGCGCTGTATCTGCATATCATTGCTTTCTGTGGTGCCCTGTCTGATGTCAATCTTGTTACATGGCCAAACCATTTTATTTTTTGTCCAACTATAAAGTTCATTATTAGTTCTGTGCCAACTCTCCTCCTGATATCGTTCCTAAGTCGATCTTTCCTCGTTACACCTAGCATAGCACGTAAACAATTTATTTGAAATTTCTGTCGTGTTGCCGTAACTGTTTTAATTTAACAGCAGAGCACTCATTTCTTCTGCCTTTGCTCTGAGAAGCGCGGTTGATGCGTCGTGTTGAGGTTTGCAGCTAGAGAGTGATATTTGCGCTTTTCGACCCAACACATCAAATGTTAGCAAATCCATAAATAGTCGCCTTCTACGCCATGGTTGTTAGGGGTAGATACCCCGCCCCCCCCCCACCACGAGTATCCTGTTCACACTGGCCTAGCATGGTGAGATAGTACTCGATGTGAAAAAGTATCTGTCACCCCCTCGCCCTTCCACCAAAAATATATTGTTTAAAAACACAAATTTTTGCCGTTTTGTTAGGCCCAGACACCCCAATGTGATGACACCCATTGCGGCCTGCACCCCTCACACTTCCTTCCTACCCCACTGTGGGGACTGGCTTGGAGAAGAACTCCAAAAACAAGGCTTTTTACTGAAATTGTTTTAATATAACGCAGAAATATGTCAGTAAAAATGTGTCCTATTATTTTCAACTGTCCCAGCTCACCAAAAGGACTCCCTCAAGTTCCAAGCAGAGCTCCAGACAGTCTTCGCCGACTTCAGAGCACGCCAGGAACATATCCCCTGCGCAGTGTTCCTCCTCGAGTGCGTCGTTGTCAACACGGAAAGTGGGAAGCTCATTTTCTATACATCGGCACTTCAGTTCGCCTTCACCCCACGGAAGCAATGAGTAATTCTCTCTTCTGTTTTCTGACAACGTTGTTAATGATTTTGATTCGCCGATTTACATGTTTATGATCTAAAAATGTAGATAGTTGTTGTGAGTTAGTGTATATATAACTGTGTGTGCGCATGTTTATGAGTGTGTATGTGTGAAAAAGGACCAGAAAATATGGCTTAACGCTCACAGACAGTTTGTAAAAGGACTAAGTTACACGGCTTTCTTTTCGAGAGTATTTATATATTTCATGTTATTTCTGTACTTAAAGCAAAGCCTATATGGCTGTGAAACGGGGACCTTAACAACTGAACTTGAAAAAAAGATACAAGCATTAGAAATGCGTTGCTTCAAAAAAATTCTTGACATATCATACAGAGACCACATTACTAACAAAGAGGTTCGCCTTAAATTTGTAGAGCATACGACAGAATCATTTCGCGAAAGAAAGATCAAACATTTTTTTTTTTAAAATGCGTATGCATATTATGTTGTACTCTGTGCCTTTTCCACTTGTGTCCCTACAGGAGCAGAACAAGTTCTCCATTGACACCATACAACCAATCGTTTATGCTGAACCAGAAAACACAACAAGCTGGCAGTCCGTACTATGAAGTAACGTTGACGGGTGTCAGCCCAGAGACAATGAATGATATCATAGAGCATGCCTATGGTGGGCAGGTCGTTGTCTCGGCACACAACGTTGAGCAGCTTCTGCCAGCCGCCGACCGCTTTCAGGTAAACATCTGACTGGTATTTATAACTTCCTATATTCAGGCATTAGCGTCTGTGGCTTAGGTATTGCGAATGCACCTAATAATTTTACATTACCTGCTTGGCTATCGGGCTAAGGACGATTAATTAGAAGACCACTTTGTATTGATGTCAACAATGGCATTAAGCGCTGACTGTTGAACTGAACCGTCTGTAGTACATTGGCTAGCATTTTTACCTACCTATCAGGTGGTCATAGCTGCGAATCTTCACCTTTCTCATGTGGGTTTCAGAGTCATATTTTAAGGGAAGAAGGGGGGGGGGGGTGGGGGGGGGAAGAATACGTCCACTGCTCCCCAACAAGCATTTAATATAGGTAGACTAATTAGGTGTGCTTCTTTCGAAGCGCTTCTGCCAGAGAGGCAAGGAACCAACACTCTGCATATGTGAATATATGCCAGGTATCTAAAACGGACGTGTACGCAAATCTGGAAGAAGACTATATAGTCCAGAAATGAACGAACAACCAGAACTGTTCACTGGAGTTTACAGGTTGTGATCACTGAGAAGAAAAAGACTAATCCCCATCAAAGGTGATTTATCCAACACATATGGTTTCTTTCCTTCGCATTGCGAACTGTCTAATCAGTGAACTAGAACTAACCTACTCGGAGGTGACATATTTCATATACGTTTCATCAGTTAAGTTAGTCCTCTAATAAGAAGAACGCCACAGGCGAGCATGCACAGCAGGGATCCACCGATGATCAGTAGAAAGATCCCCTGTCGACTATTGTTTCGGCCCATTACTTCCTATAAATCTCGAAAGGTGGGCCGACCTGGGTCATCATGCCAGGGTTCCCCTGCTCCACTTTATCGGACTTTGGGACAGGGACAAGACAAAATGGCGACTTTGCAACAGGTATCGTGCGATTTGGTGTTATATACTGTGGCTACGGTAGCAAATTAGCCGCCTACCTTCACGACCCAAGTGACAAGTTTACGGTTGGTTCATTGGACAGGTGTTAGACTTTGGCAATTGGCAGAGAGACACTGGCAGACATTTATTGCGTACTTTGGCTTTTAGAGATGAAAAGCTGTTTCCCACTAGGCGCTCGGACCAGTCTAACGAAACCTATTCCCCACGATGTTTCTTAGCTTCCAAAGCCAGCTCGAAGCTTTTTCCTCTGCTTCATCCAGCTATTTTAGTCCCCTTTTCCAGCAATTTCCTCCTGTTATAGTCCTGTTATCTTTTCGACTGGATTGGCACTGGATTAATGTTGTCGTAGAAACTTTCCAACCGAATGCAAGTGAGGCAGTGGCAAAAACTGATGATTTTAATAGTGGTGAAGTGGCAACAAATTAGGCGATGACCGTATTTGTTTACATCCGTTTCCGCAGGTAACCAGTCTGTTGAAAGCCTGCTGTGATTTCTTATCTGGAGAGCTGTCCATTGGAAACTGCATATCCATAGTGAAATTTGCTAGTCACTTCTATCAGTGTGACGCTCTGAGAGAGAAAGGGACCAAGTACCTTCTCGACAACTTCACCTCTGTGTTTCAGGTGTGTCGTGATGTCTGTGTTGTCAACTGTTTCTGTATGTATCAGCTGCAATTGCAATTTGCTTTAGTATGAACAATTTTGACAGGTTTCAGTGAATTATACCAACCCTGTACAATCAATGTCAGACTTAGTGACTAAAGAACAAGAAAGAGAACTAACCATCTGTGAAATGAGATGTTTGAGAAAGGCAGTGAAGCAAACTAGAAGAGAGCATGTGAAAAACGAAGAAACTACAAGAACTATTGGAACAACTCCTATAATTAAATTAATTGAGAAACAACGACTGAAATAGATACAGTTTGGCCATTTAATGAGAATGAATCCGATAATGCCATCAACAAGAGCGTACACCATGAAACTAAAAACATCAGGAGTTAGTGGACGACCAGCACGAAGATGGATTGAAGGAATCATTGATATCGTTGATACTCCACAACATGACCACATACCAGGCAACTGAGAGCACCTTGGCTTTCACGGATCATTTGGTTATCTGCGACACTTAGAGGCACAAAGCAGAAAGTGGACTCACCACTTCCCCTCCCCCCCTCCCCCAAAGGAAAACATTTACACAGCTAAGATAACACTTCTAGGAGCAACGTTTGAATGTGATTGGTATGAACACCGCTGAGATGTCACTTCTCATAGCAACGCTTGAATGTGATGGGTATGAACACCGCTGAGATGTCACTTCTCATAGCAACGCTTGAATGTGATGGGTATGAACACCGCTGAGATGTCACTTCTCATAGCAACGCTTGAATGTGATGGGTATGAACACCGCTTAGATGTCACTTCTCATAGCAACGCTTGAATGTGATGGTAAGGAACACTACTGAGATGTCACTTCTCAAGGCAACGTTTGAATGTGATGGATTTGAACACTGCTGAGATGTCACTTCTCAAAGCAACGCTCGAATGTGATGGGTATGGACACTACTGAGATGTCACTTCTCAAGGCAACGTTTGAATGTGATGGGTATGAACACTGCTGAGATGTCAATTCGCATAGCAACGGTTGAATGTGATGGGTATGAACACTACTTAGATGTCACTTCTCAAGGCAATGCTTGAATGTGATGGGTATGAACACTGCTGAGATGTCACTTCTCAAAGCAACGGTTGAATGTGATGGGTATGAACACTGCTGTGATGTCACTTCTCATAGCAACGCTTGAATGTGATGGGTATGAACACTGCTGAGATGTCACTTCTCATAGCAACGCTTGAATGTGATGGGTATGAACACCGCTGAGATGTCACTTCTCATAGCAACGCTTGAATGTGATGGGTATGAACACCGCTGAGATGTCACTTCTCATAGCAACGCTTGAATGTGATGGGTATGAACACCGCTTAGATGTCACTTCTCATAGCAACGCTTGAATGTGATGGTAAGGAACACTACTGAGATGTCACTTCTCAAGGCAACGTTTGAATGTGATGGATTTGAACACTGCTGAGATGTCACTTCTCAAAGCAACGCTCGAATGTGATGGGTATGGACACTACTGAGATGTCACTTCTCAAGGCAACGTTTGAATGTGATGGGTATGAACACTGCTGAGATGTCAATTCGCATAGCAACGGTTGAATGTGATGGGTATGAACACTACTTAGATGTCACTTCTCAAGGCAATGCTTGAATGTGATGGGTATGAACACTGCTGAGTATGTCAAAGCAACGGTTGAATGTGATGGGTATGAACACTGCTGTGATGTCACTTCTCATAGCAACGCTTGAATGTGATGGGTATGAACACTGCTGAGATGTCACTTCTCATAGCAACTCTTGAATGTGATGGGTTTGAACACTGCTGAAATGTCACTTCTCAAATAATGCTTGAATGTGATGGGTATGAACACTGCTGAGATGTCACTTCTCAAAGCAACGGTTGAATGTGATGGGTATGAACACTGCTGTGATGTCACTTCTCATAGCAACGCTTGAATGTGATGGATAAGAACACTGTTGAGATGTCACTTCTCATAGCAACGCTTGAATGTGATGGATAAGAACACTGCTGAAATGTCACTTCTCATAGCTACGCTTGAATGTGATGGATAAGAACACTGCTGAAATGTCACTTCTCATAGCAACGCTTGAATGTGATAGGTGGCAGACACACATGTTTAGGTTCAGCACATAATACAACTTTTTATTAACGTGATATCTATAGCATCTATACAGTTTATTTAAAAATAGTGAAAGGCATTGTTGCCTCACGTTATGAAAATCTAGTTGACAAATAATCCCCACTGAACATTGTACCACCTCAGTAGGTTCTGGGACGCCAGTGTGGCGGAAACAAGAATATATCTGTTGCCCCCCCCCCCTCCCTCCGAACAAACATATTGTTGAAGACTTGCAATCAGTTTTTTTTTCTTTCAAAGTTTAATCTGCATAAAAGGCCACGAACCAATGGTCTGCATACAAAAAAGCCAGATCGGTATACCTTATGTGCCCTCAAAACTCAAGTTCTTGGAGAGGGGGGGGGGGGGGAAGACAAAATTCCAGAAATCTACGGTCAACCAGAAAGGAGTTATAGCTAATAAGTTCTTGATTAAAAAAAAAAAAAAAAAAAAAACACACACACACACACACGCACACAATCCTAGATGTGGATGATCTACAAGGTTTTTCCACTGAAGTTGACAGCTAAGAAGAACAGGAATAATAATAATAATAATATATTAGGAAGAAGAAGAAGAAGAAGAAGAAGAAGAAGAAGAAGAAGAAGAAGAAGAAGAAGAAGAAGAAGAAGAAGAAGAAGAAGAAGAAGAAGAAGAAGAAGAAGAAGAAGAAGAAGAAGAAGAAGAAGAAGAAGAAAAAGAAGAAGAAGAAGAGGAAAGAGGAGGACGACGACGTTTTTAGACATTACTGTTTAAACGATTTTGTTTAAACCAAGGTGATTTATATTTGACTGCACTGTTCAAAAACCCTGCATAAATGGCCATTTGTATACCTAGTTATTCTGTTTAGTCAGTTGAGTTTAAACGTTGTTCTTACAGCAGACTATGCAGTTGAGTAAAATCTGATTAAAATGATGATCTTATACCTTGAAATTATCCAATGTACATACGAAGTAGACTAGCCCGGAGTTCGAGAAGCTGACATGCAAGGAACTCCTCTCTATACTCAAGGCCGATCAGCTGAACGCTAAATACGAAGAGCTGGTTCTGGACGCTATCATTCGCTGGGTGATTGCTGACGTAGAAGATAGACAGAGTAAGTCACGGGATATATGTGTGTCTTAGCCTACTATATATTACCATACTGACAAATATTTCACGTACTTTGCCTTTGTCGATTATTTCTATTTAAAAAAAAAAAAAAAAACAAAAACAAACTACAATTAGCAGTGAAGCCGATTTGGTAAAACCCACGAGCTTGGGCCCAGAAAGAGAGTGACTTCCCTTGCCATTCATCCCTGGTCGTTTCGTAAGGCTTGTCCTATGTTGCGGGGTATCACGCTTAGTGAGCGTCCAGCAATACAACACATTTTACGCCTTTGTTGTCACCGGCCGGCGATATCACGTGGTCTTTATTCCACGAAGTGAGCGCTGTTAACAATTCCAAAACATGTAGAACCCAACCCAAAAGTCCCACCCCATTCTTTACGCCACACACAGTCTGAGCCTATGTCCCATGAGAGAGTGCAGCCTACGTCTCATGACTACATGCAGCCTATGACAACACCGCGTAAAACTTGTTTAGCCCTGGACGCTTAACCAAGCGTAACACCCCCACAGCATAGGACAGGCCCTTCACCAGGACCTTTGATCTATGGCAAGGGAAGTCACTCTCTTTCCGGGCTCGGCTTCATGAGTTTTTCCGCCGATTTTATAATTGGTCTTGCTTTCTATTTTTCGACCCAATCTTAAATTGGTTACAGTATATGTACGTCAACCCTCGAGTACCGATTGACCTGTAAACATATGATCCATCACCACATGTTGGATGCATCATTGATCTAGAAGTGTCATTGACATCTAAGAGACAAAGAGAGACATCCTGGTCCTTCGCTTTGGTGGTGAACCCTTAGGCCGACCCCACCTCCCTTCCCCCACTACCATCACAGTAGGAAAACCTCTTCCAACACGAAACATATATCTAAGCCTCGATTTAGAAATCGCAGCGATGAATCAGGGCAGGTGATATCTACAGCGATTAATTTCGAGGCCTCAGAATGCTGAAGAAAAAGGAAAAGATATGAAACAATGCCAGACGTCATTAATCATGGCAGAAGAGAGGAAGATCACAAAATGTGAGGTGAAATAACCGAGAAGAGCTATCTTTATGATCTGAAGAGAATGTTGAATGTTGAATTAGGAATCAATATCACAGCATTCGGGACACCCCCATAAACGCTATGTCCCCATCTTCCGCAGCAAAATTCCGATGGCACCAGTAATTGTCTAATTGTATATCCATCTCGCTTTTCCCGAGTGTCGAGCGTCGGCCATATCCCCTTGTAACTCCTCGCTGTGCCATTCTTCTCAGACCGTAATGATATATTTGTGCCTCTGCACCGTTCACTCGTTCACAAGGGGCCCTCACAACATCCAGCTTGTCATGCATCAGTTCACCACCAATTGGTGCAGAACCGGCCAGTCTATCTGCCTGCTTATTTCCCAACACCCCGGCATTACCTAGAGAAAATATCTAAAGGATGCAAACTGTCGGAGACTTTTGAAATGATGCTTGCCACGCTGCACGGAGCATGCCTGCCTCCACCTTTCCCAACATGCTCTGTGAGTCAGTTACAATGACGGCATGTGTGTACAGCTGATTCTCTGAAGAGACGAACTAAGAAATGATGGCACCAGAGAAGAAATAAAAGCAAATCCAAACATTCATTACATTGCGAAACCGAAAACAAAGATTATTTGGGCATCTAATAAGTATGCTGCTGCGGTTGGTTCTGCAATGTCCTGTGAAAGATACACAAATAAAAAAAAAAAAAATAAAAAAAAAAATTAGTATGCAGCCTGCAAAAACTACGCATAAATATCTAAAACTGTAAGAGAGCGCGATGAATACTAAGGCGAATACAAATCGACAGTAATATGTTTCAGCTGCAGCTCCATACAGTACCCAAAGACAATGCCCGAAAAAGTCAATAAAATTTTTTATTTATGATGGTTACTTCTTCTTCTTCGCGGTCACCGGCTGTAAACTCCAGGGGAAAGTTCTGGTTGTTCGTCCACTTCTGGACTAGTCCTGTTCCTGAACCTGAGTTTTGCGTGTAAGTCGGCCGGCGTGACGCTAACCATCACCACCAAGTGCCGTTTGGTCTGTAAAATCTAGGTCTAGCCCTATATACTCAATACGTCTAAAGACGTGAAAAGGGTCTTTTAAAATTTTATTTCGGGTTATTTGTCCACGGCTATCTTTCCTTGTCTGTTTTTTATCTGACAATAGGGCATCGGTTTTCAGCCAGTTCGTGCAATATACCTATCTATCTCCCCCCCCCCCCCCATCTCTTGCAGCATATTCTACATCTTCCTGATCTTTTTCACATATCTCCAGTGTGTGTGTGTGTGTGTGTGTGTGTGTGTGTGTGTGTGTGTGGGGCCTTTAAAAATGTTTTGGGGTGGGGTTTTTAGATTCTAATATTAGGATATTATGGCAGTTTATCTACCAATATTTATTTATCATCCTTGTGTACTGGTAATGTCAATAAATCCACTAAACGTTGCGTAGGGTGCAACGGGGACAAGGATGAGCCTATGAAAAAAAAGTTTTGTACAGTCAACTCTTCATTTCGCATAAGGTTACTTGGCGTCGATATTTCTTCAGCCACCTATCTTTATTAAATGATTACCTGAAAGCATGAATGTACTCATAATATTCAACATGTCCACACACACAGACACACACACACTCCCACGCACACACACAGACACACACAAGCACGCACACGCACACATACACGCATACATGAACGCGCACACATAGGGACGGACTAATTGAAGTAAGCAAGCTTTGCAGTTATCTATAACGCCATAAGTGGGCATTCATGGCTTGTAATCTTGAAACAACTAACTAACGTTTCTGTCTCACTCTTATCAGAGCACATCCACGAACTGGTTCGATGCGCCAGGGTGGGTCTGATGCTTCCGGACAACATGAGGGAGTTTGTGGATTCCTGGCTGCTCAGTGGGAACCTCAATACAGAATTTAACAGTGTCACCATTCAGGTAATCTTGTTTTCAAAGTTAATTTTCTTGAACCAATCGACACTTGATGCACAATGTGGCCAAAATCATGCTGGTTGCTTTTATATTCCAAGATATTTCCTATAACCAGTATTAGGCATTGTTGACCTCGGAAGCTTAGTAATGTTTTAAAAAACCGCCTAAGGACAACTTTTTCAACCCATGGTAACTAGGCTGACAGGCAGGCGTACCAGCCACTGCTTCTTTTCACAGGTTTGAGATTATAACAGAACGTTTAAAAATCATCATCATCCTTAGTGGGAAACTGTTGGGTGCTTTATTAATATCTTACCCCAAACAGGGGAAATCCACAGGTCACTGGACAGTCTAATATATCAGGGGTGGTAGATAAGGCTGCATGCAGTCGTGAGTCCTAGGCTGCATGCAGTCGTGGGACCTAGGCTGCACTGTCTCGTGGGACCAGGTGGGTTGGGATTAGGGCCAGTTTTAGATATTTTTGGGTCGTTAAAAGCATCAGAAAGCCGGGAAACCCAGTCTTACCCCCTCTAAAATGTTGGACTGTCCTGTGACATCATCTGGGGTAGGATATTACTAAAGCACCAATTGTTAAGTTGAAGGCAATAAATTAATATATTTTAAAGGATCGCAGCTACCCAAAGAAGATACTGTCTGTTTGTGTTCGGTCGATTAGACCTCACACTGTGTGTTTCTTGTAGATTTAAAGTTTGCGTTTTTTTTGAAGATTATAATGAAAGACACTGTTGTGAAATGCGTAATGCACCGTGCAAGCTTCGCCAGCCTCAAATATTCTTCTTCTTCCGTTCGCTTGATATAAATTATCTGCAATATTGTTTCTAGTATCAACTTTACTGTCCTAGAAAATTAACAAGGGCATTGTGGGAAAGAACAACAAAAAAGCCAAAATCAATCTTCAATCACTAAACAATTCATGATAACTGAGCTAGAAAATCCAGCACGGGAAATACAACACATTTAAGTGATTCAGAAAAGCTGGGTAATAAAAATATGATAGTATTTTGAGATTAGGAACCATGATAAGATATCAATCTCATCGGAAGTATAATTAATCAGCTAAGAAGATGAAAAAAAAAAAGGAGGGGGGGGGGAGGGGAGGAGTAGGGGTTAGAGTTGGACTAGCGTAAGATTATTGATATATTATTTTTTTTTTTTAAAGTTAAGGATAAAATGTAACACTGGCATAAAAATGCACGACTGCAAAGATTTCCACAGCTATTCTGTTTTCATTTTGTCCTTCTGCTTTTGCCGTAAAGAGTCGCAGACTTTAGTTATATGTAGTTTTCTGTCTTTTGCTAGTTGAGTAGCTTGTGTAATGTCATTGTCTGCAGTGTCACTTTTACTGCCTTCGCCCCTTTCTTGACTTGTATGTAGCCTTTCGCTCTCATTTAGTACGCTGCACTTGTTCGCTGGTATTGTTCCTCTCTGACAAGATGACTAAATCAAATCATTTGATTGTTTGATGTTCTATGAAATCCTTTACCGGCACTGTGCCTATCATTGTTTTCAGTTCTTCGTTGGTGACTCTCTTCTTATTTTTCCCGCTGCATTTCACAAATATATTGCAGTAATTTTTAGTACACCCCTTTCAGACATCTCATCTTAACCAACTATTTTGACCGATAATACAGTCAGATATCAATTAAAAAAAAATTCCACAGTACTCATAAAATGCCTTTTTATGTTAACGGACTTTCTAGACAAAAGAGTCTTTCTTTAGCTTTTTTTATTTAGTGGAGTAATAGTAAATTAGGAAGAATCCGGCACATACACAAAACAAACCGCAATAGAGAACGAAAAAAAAAAAAAATGGAGGCAGATTAACAGTTGCAGTTGAATAAAAACGATAAAAGTCAAGGACATCTCTGATGCTGTTGGCGTATCGGGCATATAGGGCTAGACTCGTATCTTATCGGTTAATCGACACTCATTAGACGGTGTGGTCAATTAAAGTCCTGGAGCCTTTACTTCGTAGTTTATGTCCTGAAACGTATTTTCATCTTTCGACCTGGTATTTAAAAGAAATTCGACCAATGTGGGTTTGAACCCAAGATTTTGTTTGCCTGCAACGGCTTCCAATAACAACAGTTACTTGACAATAACTATAGGTTTATCTTAATCAGGTGAAGTCCCCACAATGAGGGTTGGCTGTCCTGGATCTCAAACACTCTCTCCTTCTAATTGCACGCTCTCAAAAGGGGCTAAATCACCCCGACTCAGTTTGCCTTAGAAAGATGCTAAATATCAAGTGGCATGAATATATTACGGCCGCAGTTTTGTTGGGCAGGTCTTGTAGTCCGCATGTCCGACATGCGT